TTTTCCCAAGATGTCACACCCCTTAAACATAATTCCCACAATGCCACAACCTAGAAATTTTTTTTTCCAGAATGCCACGTTCAGAAGGCTTACGCCATTTGAAATGGCGCGAGGGTCTCACCTGTTGCACAACCAGAAGGCTTGCGCCATTTCAAATAGCGCGAGTGTATATTTTTTTCGTATTTTATTTTCTGATATTGATTTAATATAAAGTTTATTATTTAATTTTATTAATTAATTATAAATAGTTAAAAACAATTTAAATATATAATTAATTAATAAAATACTAATTAAACAATTTAAATAATTATAAATAAACAATTAAAATGTTAAAAAAATAATTTTAAATAATGATAAACTTGAAACATCAAATTAATAATTAAAAAAATATGATTAAACATAATTATAAATAACAATACATATGTACACCCAAATACATCAGTATAACTAGTTAGAAGGGTCTGCATCGTTGAGGCGATACAAACATTCTTTGCGCATATGGGCTTGTTGATATATCTTGCATCATCTTTTTTATTTTCTCAACAGTGTCCACTTCAGTCCTAATATGAGTACTGTTCGGGCGATCTTTTTTGTTTCGTCGCATCCTTTCGTTATGAAAAATAGTATCGTCTAGATATAGAGGTCAACTATCTTCTTGGGGAACACCAATGAAACTTTGTAGATAAACTTTGAAGATGCCTATAACTCTATACACATGAGGGATAACTTTAGTATAGTCGTGGTTAATGTGAGAACAAGCTACAATAGCATATGAGCAAGGCACATGAAAAGTTTAAAAATTTCCACAGTCACATGTTCATTTTTGGAGGTTGACGTTGAAATGAGTAAGTGGCAGATAATTATTAGTATTAACCGTCTCTTGGACCATGAAATTGTGTCTTTCATGGTCAAAAGCCAATACATTGTAACTGTGGGATTTTTCTACTTCTTCTGCAATTTCTTTCATGCAGTTATATGTTAATTCCTTTCCCGATGACAAATTTTTTGTCCAATCCTTTCCTCGCTTCCCCCACAATGTTCCCATCTTGTAGTATGTTGATCTTACAAGTGTTGTAATAGGTAGATTGTGAGTTTCCTTCAACACTGAGTTCAATGATTCAACAAGGTTGGTTGTCATATGACCTCATCGTGCTCCTCTTTCGTAAGCTCGCGATCATTTTTCTCTTTGAAGGTTCTTTATTCAGTTGAAAGCCTCTATGTTTGTTTGGCGGATCTCCTCTCGATATTATGCATATGTAGACTCGTTAAGTGCATACCCTATGTATAAGCATTAAAATCATTAATATAAAAGAACTATATATTTAAAAGTCGAAGATGTTATAATTGTAAAAAAATAGAAAATAAATTACCCATGTTAACAACTGTCTTGATAAGGTCTTTGTCCTTGATTGCTCACATAAAGTTTTGTGCGATGTGCCTAATGAAATAAACATGCATCGATGGAGAGTTTTTCCAGCCATTGCCCGGGTTTGTAGGCACTCTTAATGGACTCATGTCGATCAGATATCAAACATAAGCCTGACTGGGGTGTGATGTGGAGTCTCAAATTTTTCAGAAAGAAACTCCAAGCCCCCGGTCTCACCTTCAACCAATGCAAAGGAGATAGAAAGAATATTGTTATTCCCATCTTGTGCAACAGCCAGTAGCAATGTGCCCCTATATTTTCAATATAGCCATGTACCATCTACCTGCACTATTGTTTTGCAATGTGCGAAACCCCTAATACAAGGTTGAAAGGCCCAAAAAAGACGATGGAAAATTCTTGCACCACCAATTTGTGTTCCTTCATTTGAATATACAAGAAGTGTTTCAAGATCTATGACGGTACCTGGGAGAAATTGTTACATGACTAACAACTATTGCGGGAGGTTGTTGTATGAGGCCTTCCAATTTCCATAAATATCTTCGATTGCTTTGTTCTTTGCCATCCATGCCTTTTTGTAAGATACGGTGTAGCCATAAGTCGTACGAATATGAGCAATAATATGTCTAACCTTGATTGCAGTGTCACTTTCGACAAGAGGTCTGATGTTATGGGCGATCATTTTTGAGGTAAGATTTTGGCGATCTTGAGATATAACAGTCGACATGCAAAGTTGGGGTTCCACTGTTTTAGCTAATTTATATATGGAAATATGCAAATCTGTAGATGTCAATGTTACAGAGATATAACAGTCGACATGCAAAGTCAGGGTGCGTTTTACTTCTCCAAGCTTGGACTTTTACACACATGCCTATTATATCTCTGGTAGCTCCTCTTTAAGCACCATATCCTTACGCAAGAAGATAATATTTTTATTTTAATTTATAATTATAATTGTTAAGATACTTTAAAATAAATTTTATTTTTTAATTCTTTTAGGTGGTGCATCAAGAAACTTGACTACCAAAATCACCTGCGCCACCATCTACAAGGATACTGATTCATGAATGATCACATGCTTCCAGATCAGGTTTTTAATCTTCACTTTATTACTTCATATATATTTATGAATTTTATTTTGGTTACACTAACAAGTTTTATCTATAACTTTTCAGTTTATTTGGAGGTCATATCTTGGATTAGCGCCACAAAGACACAAGGACAACTTGATATGGAGCTCAACAACATATATAATATGTTTTTATATTGTAAAAACACATCAAGCTGATAGGATCAAACTAAAATTTGGCCATTTACAGGATACCTGAAGAACCTCAATGCCTCGCAGAACACCATAAAATGACAACGAACAAATCGCGCCAACAACCATATACCATATTGTACTACGATGAGCAAAATTGTTAGTTGCATCGGGAAATATTTACGTTGGATGAAAATCAATTACAAATGGAGGAGAAATCATCCTATGAGTACATGCAATGGTATCACTCGCTTCCATATAGATATGCATCGTACGAACAATTCATCAAAATCAGTATGCCCCGACTCAGGTAAGTGGCTCTCAACCAATTCCACAACCCTTCCAACAACAACCTCATCACTCACATCATTCTCAAACTCCTCATCCACAACCCTTCCAACAACAAACACCTATCCCCCACTATTCCCAACAACAAACTCTCATCCCCCATTATTCCGAACAACAAACTTCTAACCCTCATTTTTCTCAACTACAAACTCATACCCCTTATTTTTACCAAAAACAAACCTTTAACACCTAATACCCACAATCTCGCTCTCAATCAAATTACATCTATGAAATCCAACAACCACAAACATACAATCGACCAACTATGCAATTCACATTTATCCCGCGATCAAACATTGATTCCCCCCTCCTCCCAAAATAACGCTACAACATCTAACATACAACCACCCATAACACCTTATGTTCCTACCATGGGTCACCCACAACAAACCCAATACAATTTTGGCGGGGATATTAACGTCAGTGATTATGATTTAATAGAAACTATTTGGTCTCCGCCGCATCCTACCGCTCCTACATAGGAAAAATCCTCCGACAAGAAACACAAAAAAATCCTCCAACAATATACACCCAACAAACACAATAATATGGTTTTGGTCATCGTACTCCTCAACCGCGTTATTGTTTGATCGGTATTCGTTTAAATCCAGGTCATCAACATTAAGTCATGTAATAATAATTTTTATTATTTAATTATATATTTATATTCACTTTTTAACATTTTAATTGTTTATTTATAATTATTTAAATTATTTAATTAATATTTTATTAATTAATTATATATTTAAAGTTTTTTTAAATTATTTCTAATTAATTAATAAAATAAATAATAAACTTTATATTAAATTAATTTCAGAAAATAAACTTTATGCTATTTAAAATGACCTGAGTCTTCTAGCTGTGTAATGGCCGAAACTTTCAGACCATTTCAAATGGCGCAAGTGTGCTGAACGTGATATTCTCAATTTTTTTTTCCAGACATTGAAATTGTAAAAATCATGTTTAAGGGGGGTGTGACATGTTAGAAAAAAATTCTTTTGATTAACCTTATCAGCTAACATATGCCGAACGTTCATTTTGTGGCTATGAAATGGCTGTGGTGGATAGGGCATTTCTGGCCTGCTTTACATCCCACCATATCATCAAATTTCATGCACAAATAATTAATAGTATTTTCTCAAATGCGCAATTTTTTATTTTTAGTATTTTCTTCATTTTAATAACAGCCAAAATATCTATAAATTGTACAATATTTTACACACTCTCCACAATGTTTTTCCAAATAGTTTTAATTTATTACTGTATAATATCTTATACTAATATGAATTCAGTTATGTTTAACTTCAATTTTTTTTTAAATTATGATTGATTAATGATTAAGAGTGAGAGTCACATTTTCAATACTATGTAAGTGGCTAAATAATACAACTGCACATGTTTTTTTTAATAGATACAGTAATATTGCAACAATAAATGGATAAAATTTATATATGTGTACCTACAAAGCAAAGGATAAAATACTATAATACGTTTGATAAGGTGGCACACATTTTAATAGTAATTCCTCACGTTTATTAGTTAAATAATTTAGTGGAGATGATTATTAATTACACAATATAAAAAATGATAAATTTAAAATTTAAAATCAAATTTTTAATAGATTAATAATTTATTTGATACAAAATCATTCATGAGTAGTACTTTATATATATATATATATATATATATATATATATATATATATATATATATATATATATATATATATATATATATATATATATATATATATATATATATATATATATATATATATATATATATATATATATATATATATATATATATATATATATATATATATATATATATATATATATATATATATATATGATTAAAATAAAAATCAAACATTAATAAAAATTAAACGATATTCATCACCCTCCACGAAATATTGATATTTTTGCACAAAATAAAAACGACCAAAACTATAATTCAAAGAACCACACACACAAACACTTGTCTCTCTATCTTTCTCTCTCTAACATGGCAATGGCAATGGCGCTTCGTAAGCTTTCATCTTCCGTCAACAAATCTTCACGTCCTCTCTTTTCCGCATCATCCGTTTACTACAAGGTTCTTCTTCACTTTTCACTCTCTTGTTTTCAATTCAGTTCAAATCAAATCTCATTGCGTATAACTTACATAATTTCCATTTCGATGTAGTCTTCTTTGCCTGATGAAGCTGTTTACGACAAAGAGAATCCACGCGTTACGGTATCATTATCATGGATTCACTTTTTATGCTTGTCATTCATTTCGAAGCTTATTCACTTGTAGTAGTATTGTTGTTCATGATGGTTTTGCAGTGGCCAAAGCAATTGAATTCTCCACTTGAGGTTATTGATCCTGAAATTGCTGATATAATTGAGCATGAAAAAGCTAGACAGTGGAAGGTATATATATACCATTTTCTGTTTTTTCTTATTTGCTTCGCTTGGTATATTGATTGAATAACTGGATTGTATCGCTTCAGTTTGCAGTTCTAACAATATTGAACTTCAAAAGAGTTCGCCAAATGTTTGGTGTAGTGTGGTGAAACATGATATGCATACTGAATTTCTCATCTTGTGTATTTCATTTTAAAGAGAACTTGGTGGTGTTTTTTTTTTTCTTTTTCTTTTTGTGAAGGGGCTGGAACTGATACCATCAGAAAATTTCACTTCTTTATCTGTTATGCAAGCTGTTGGGTCTATCATGACAAACAAATACAGTGAAGGGTATCCTGGGGCAAGATATTATGGTGGAAATGAGTATGTTTGTTTATCACTTTATTTGTGTGCTTGTCTTTAATAATTCGTGGAAGCAAGTGAATATAGAGTAATCATTTTGGATTTCGTTCTTGTATTGAATCCAATTCAAAGACTGTGTTTCTTGGTTATTATTGCAGGTATATTGATATGGCGGAAACACTATGCCAGAAGCGTGCCTTGGAAGCATTTCGGTTGGATCCTGCTAAATGGGGAGGTAAGAACACAAGAGAAACATATCAGTAAGGAAAAGACGTGGCAAGATTGTACTATGTTTTCTCTTTTAAGTTTTCTTGTTAGTACTTGGTACTCGCGTTGTTGGTTAATTCTTAGCGTAAACAAGTATTGTATCTCTTGTTTGGGCTTAACTTGAGTTGTCGAGTGGTATTACTTTCTGAAAAAATCTAAAATCAATTATGGACATGCTAAGGCTTGATGTCTGCCATGGACTTTTCTTGTTTGAAAGTTTGAAACAACCTCTAGCGAGCTTTTCTGAGGGTGAATAGATTTATTAATATATGATAACTATAGTGGAAGTTTGCTCATCTTTGTTACCCCTGATTTGCAGTGAATGTGCAGCCTCTGTCTGGTTCGCCTTCAAATTTTCAAGTTTACACTGCATTGTTGAAACCTCATGATAGAATCATGGCACTTGATCTCCCTCATGGAGGGCATCTTTCTCATGGATACCAGGTATTATCAACTTCCATATTTCATTTCCTGGTATGGATTGGCTTATGTTCATGAATTCTTGACATATTTCCGAGAATATCTTTTGCCGTTAGCTCACAACACTTTTGTGAAGTACTATTGAACTTCTACGCATTTATATTTCTATTATTGTGACATTGTTTTGACCACCGACAACGTATTTTATTATATGAAAGATTGTTTACATTTTTCAGACGACTTATGTATGTTCTTTCGAGATGAACATTATTAGTTACTACTATCTTCACTTTGCAGACCGACACCAAAAAGATATCTGCAGTCTCTATATTTTTTGAGACAATGCCATATAGGTTGGATGAAAGCACAGGATACATCGACTATGATCAGGTATTTTGCAGTTTCTTTCATCATATTCACAATCCTTTTGAAAATTATCCTCATTTATCAATTATTATTTTAAACACAATTAATTAGCTTTATCATACTCAAATAAGTACAGTTAAAATAAAGATATTCACATGTTATCCATTTCTCAATTAGGAAGCATGGTATTTGAGTCTTCCTCCTTAAGATCAGTATTTATTCATGTATAACTTTTGTGTCACCTCAGTGTTTATATTAATTGAACAACTTTAAATTGCAGCTAGAGAAATCGGCTACACTCTTCAGGCCAAAATTAATAGTTGCTGGTGCTAGTGCCTATGCACGTCTATATGATTATGCACGCATACGCAAGGTAACTTATAGAAAGTGCAACATGATTTTTCTAAATATAAATAGACTGTCCTTCAAATTTGTTGTTTTTAAATTTGAGCGGTTATATGAAGCACTCTAAATTGAACTCATGAAACATTTTGCAACTTACAACAGGTGTGCGATAAACAGAAAGCTGTGCTGTTAGCAGATATGGCACATATCAGTGGATTGGTTGCAGCTGGTGTTATCCCTTCACCTTTTGACTATGCAGATGTAGTGACAACCACAACTCACAAGTCACTCCGTGGCCCACGTGGTGCTATGATATTTTTCAGGAAGGGATTAAAAGAAGTCAACAAAAAAGGACAAGAGGTACATCCATCCTTGATGACCTGAACAAAATTCATCTGATCTTGTCTATGAACTAATATATTATGTTTCATGTTTTGCTTACATTATTTTATCAAGTTTTTTTTTCTTATTTCCTTCAAATATTTATTTAAGTTCACGGCATTGTCCAAAAAGAGGTACTAATTCGTCTTACTTATTTGAAGGTGTTCTATGACTTTGAGGACAAAATCAATCAAGCTGTCTTCCCCGGACTGCAAGGTGGTCCTCACAACCATACCATTACCGGTTTAGCTGTTGCACTGAAACAGGTAAATAAATAGGAAAATTTACAATGGCCAATTTTTTTCCTGTTTTAATAGCGTCACTGTCTATTTTTTCTCGATATTGTTGTTTTTATGTAAATTACTGCAGCAGACATTGAAATGGATATGAAATAAGGTATCTTCTTTTTATAGTTTTATCATAACAATATGATTTTTCTGAGGGATTTATTTGAAGAGTAACCAAGTTTATGAGTGATACTGACCGAATGTGTGTACCGAATGTGATGCATACTCACTAAGTGATAGTAATATCTTTTGTTTTTCCTTTTGTGGATTCAGGCTACAACTCCAGAGTATAGAGCATATCAAGAGCAGGTTCTCAGCAATAGCTCAAAATTTGCACAGGTACTTTAGAAAGTATAACTCAACAGTCTCTTCTCATAGATATCGAATGTCAATCAACACAAGGGTTGGTTTCCTTGTTGGACCAAAGAGATTAATTCGTTGTGTATTAATTAACACTGAATATATTGCAGACTCTGACTGAGAAAGGCTATGAACTTGTTTCCGGTGGGACTGAGAATCATCTAGTTTTGGTGAATCTGAAGAAAAAGGTAACCCGATAACTACTTAGACTTTTCAAATAAGAATGTGGAGTCTTCTAAGTTTTTAAAGCATAATCTTCAGTGCTAACTATTTATGTATTAGTTGTGTCATAAAGCTGACATGAAATGACTAATTATCGATATGATTTAGTTCGAGAGAATTTTATATGGAGTATTATATGTTAAGTTCTGATCGAGAAAATTTTCTGTTTCATCACAACAAATTGTTCAGGGTATTGATGGATCCAGAGTTGAGAAAGTGTTGGAGTTAGTACATATTGCTGCTAATAAAAACACAGTTCCAGGAGATGTGTCTGCTATGGTTCCTGGTGGCATCAGGATGGGTACAGGCTATTCATATAAATCATATCTACATTTTGATTTTGGTTTGTCCTTGTTCAACTACTTGATCTTGATAACTCTTGTGGATTTCAGGAACTCCTGCTCTTACTTCAAGGGGATTTGTTGAGGAGGATTTCGTTAAGGTAGCAGAGTATTTTGACGCAGCTGTGAATTTGGCTTTGAAGGTTAAGGAAGAGAGCAAAGGTTCATAAATTTTCTAAACCCATCATCCTGTATGTTTCTGATTGTCTGTTGCTGTGTGCTTTAATAAGCTAACAATGTTGTTACCGATGAACGTTTACAAATAGGAACAAAATTAAAGGACTTCGTGGAAGTATTGCAGACGTCCTCTTACGTGCAATCAGAGATTTCCAAGCTTAAGCATGATGTTGAGGAGTTTGCAAAACAATTTCCAACCATTGGTTTTGAAAAAGCAACCATGAAGTACAACAAATAAGTAAAAGAAAGTTTCCATCAGGTATACTGAAGAGAATAATATAAAGACAACATGAGATTAGTATTCTGTTAATATTAAGTGGAACTTGTGAAATTCTTGATCATGTGATGTGGTTTTGGATCTGTTTTCTTTTCCAAGACCGAAAAGGTTTTGGCTCTTCTGAGTCTAAAATCAAATTTTCTCCACTAGATTATGCAAAACTGCAGTTTGATATTCTCTAACGTGTTTTATTTGCTATGTGTCGGTGGCTGTTAACACTATGATGGTGAAGGACTTCAAGGGGATCAGTTTTACTGATTAATGGAAGAAGAGGATTATATATAGCAGATGCAAATTATTAGGCTGGAACTTTCTTATGTATGGAACTTGCAAAACTTGATCAGATACCTTCTTGCAATGTATAGATATATCTATTTATAATCTATTAAATGTGAATTGCGACCTGCGAGCTTTTAAGTTGTTGGCATGTCAATGTTTTCAACATTCATTTGGGTCCTATTTTAGATAAGCAACTTTATTAAATGTTTATAGCAAGCACTTATCTGTGAAATCTTAAATCAACACATAAAATGATGATTTTTCTTTTCAACATACTTTGTTGCTCAATCGGCGCTACTGCCACTGGTTTGGTTACAGTGTCGAGAATTGCTGATATTCTCCCCATAAACAAACCAGCTTCTTTAGCTACATAAAATCCATATGGGTGGTGGTGATGTAAATTCTTTTTTCTTGTATCACATTCCCATCTTTATTCTTTCAAGATGAATGAGAAACTTGAGCAATTCCAATGGCTTTATTGCTCTACTAGAGAAACAGATTCATTCCAATGAACCAAAACTAAAAAATAACATCAGCCTCCATCACCATAGCAATCTGTTGAAAAAGGATGCACTTACCACAGTCATGTAATCTGAACTGTCCTATCACTACCAACTAATTCAAAATGCAACCTTGAAACGAATCGGACAAGTCAGATTGCATGAATCAGAAATTTCGAATTAGAATTTCCAAATGCCAATAGTTGTCACACTGATTCAATGTAAAAATCTTATATGTCTAAATACAAAAAGACATGTCAAATCTTGAAAACATTACTTCCTCATCAAGATTTTTTTATAAGTCAAACGTCGCTTTATATTTTCAATAATATTAATTATTTTATTTCAAATTCAATATAGTTGAAGAAAACAATAAATTATTAAACTATTTATTTATAATAACTATGTAAATAAATAAAACAAGGCAAAATATCAAATAAAGATCTAAGATTATTTCAAGAACCTGACCAAAAAACAACATAGTATACAAAACATAAAACAAAAATGAGACACCAAACTCTTATTCTAGTCCTTGTTATATCAAACATGCTTATGGCTACACGACTCACTCTTACACTCTCTTTATCTCGTTCTCGTACTCGTTCCATTCACCCTCTTCTTAAACGCACTTGTTCCATTTTCAACCCTAAACAATTCAACAAATCCCATCCTTGTCCCCTCTGGTCCTCTTCCTTTTCCTTCTGCCTTGATTCACTTCACACCACCACTTCCTCTTCCTTCACCACCTCCTCTCTCTCCGCTTCATCAATGGCCGCTTCTGCTGTTGAACCCAATCCCATTCTCGAGGAATTTCTTTTTCCTCCTTTCGATGTTGTTGAACCCAAACACGTGCGACCTGGGATTCGTACCCTTTTGAATAAGCTGGTAAGAAGTTGTTATCTTTTGGGTTTTGAATGGTGGGGTTTGGTTCATTTTTGTTTTGTGTTTTGGGGTTTGATTTTGTAGGAACGTGATTTGGAGGAGCTTGAAGGGAGTGTCGAACCTTCCTGGCCTAAGTTGGTGGAGCCGTTGGAGAAGATTGTGGACCGGTTGGTTGTTGTTTGGGGTATGCTTAATCATCTTAAAGCTGTTAAGGATAACGCTGACCTCCGTTCAGCCATTGAAGATGTGCAGGTATATATATTCTATGTGTAATTGTGCGTTTCTTGATTCTGTTGATGCGACTGTAACTGTTGAATTTTCGTATTAGTATGGTTTTTGTGCATTTTGGGATGTAGGGCAATTCTTTATGTGAATTGTATGGTTTTAAATTGAGGATATAACCTCCTATTTGTCATGTGATATGCAATTTAGTACATAGTGTTGTCAAATAGTGGTTAGCACTATAGTAATGTAGCATAGTGTAATTTGAACTACATGTTACTTTTATTTGCGATTGACAACACTTGTAAATTGGTTTTTGTGCCCAGTTTTTAGCACATGACTATGAGCCATAATGGTTTGCTTTGCCCAATTGTTTAAAATATTTTCATGGGTTTTTGGTCATCTATGTATTTCTCTTACGAATTTTGGTTGCTGTAATTTTGCTGTTAATGATGGTTGATTTATATTTTGCAGGGAGAAAAAGTTAAGTTTCAGCTTAGACTGGGACAAAGCAAGCCTATTTATAATGCATTCAAAGCTATTAAAGAGTCTCCTGATTGGAAGACACTTAGTGATGCTCGTAGGCGAATTGTTGAAAGTAAGTTGCCAAATGTCTTATTGTTTATGCTGTTCTTGTGATATGCTCTTGTATTGGCATGTTATTTTACACTTTTAAATATCTTTGTGTTGCGTTCTGATGCTGATTCCCAGCTCCTAGATTTTTATTTAGTAAGATAGAGGATTGTGAAATATGCTGGATGTGTAGTTGGTGTAGAGTTTTGATTAGTGTTCCGCTTTTTTTGCTAATTTTCTGATTTATCGTGAGAGAGATGTTGTGTGTGTTTCACTTGTTGATATTTGACTGGAAATGTGAAATATCTTTATGACTTTACTCCCAAACTCATGCCAATTGCCAAATAACAGGCTGTTGTTCCATTTACTTTCTACGTGATCGAAGACAAACTCATTATTTGTCGCCCTTCAAAATTATATTGTTCATAACAATTGTATTTATATCTTTGCAGACCAAATAAAGGAGGCAGTTCTTAGTGGTGTTTCTCTTGAAGATGATAAAAGGGAACAGTTTAACAAAATTGAACAGGTGCACTATTTTAACTAAAAACAAACGTAAATTGTGGTTATTAATATAGTGCATGCTATTTGATTCCTAGTTTCCCACCATTTACCATGATTCTGTACTAGTCTTTGGCTAACTGAGCATATCCTGTTTTCGGGCTTGGGTGGAAATTGAGATCATGAGTTTGCAATTGTACATATTTTGGAATTTGTATAATAAATAAGTAAGACATGCAACACGAGTTGATTCCTTAATGTAGTGATAAGATTGATTTATGTGCTAAAATTCCTAAAGCAAAGTGATTGTACACCATAACTAAATGAGATTCAAGTCATGATGTTTTCTTTTAGTTGTATTTATTTTTAATATTTTTTGTCATGGTTTCATCTGTAGGAGCTGGAAAGATTATCAGAAAAATTTGGGGAGAATGTTCTGGACGCAACCAAAAAGTTCGAAAAGCTCATTACAGATAAGAAAGAGATTGAAGGATTACCTGCTACTGCTCTTGGGTTAGCTGCACAAACTGCAGTATCCAAGGTAAATTATGTTGACATGTTATCATGTTATTATTCTCAAGTTATGACAATCATGCAATCTTTTAAGTTTTGATTACTTGATGGAAAAAATGCAGGGGCATGAAAATGCCACCGCTGAGAATGGGCCTTGGGTAATTACATTGGATGCTCCAAGTTATATTGCTGTTATGCAACATGCTCGCAATCGTTCTTTGCGTGAGGAAGTCTACCGTGCATATATAACACGTGCATCTAGTGGAGATTTGGATAATACTCCACTGATTGAGCAAATTTTAAAGCTTAAGTTGGAAAAGGCCAAGCTTCTCAACTACAATAACTATGCTGAGGTACGACTCTTTCATTATTAAGAACATAGTTCTATGTAGGTTGTTGATGTGTTATCTTTCAGGTTAGCATGGCAACCAAAATGGCAACTGTTGATAAAGCCGAAGAACTTCTAGAAAAGCTTCGTAGAGCTTCCTGGGATGCTGCAGTACAAGGTAGTGTATATGTTGTGTCTATGGTGCATTGTTTGCATCATGATTTAAATTGTATGCTGTTTTTTCAATTAGTCACATATATGGGGAAGGTGCATTGTGTATATATTGAGTTAGCTCCGTATTGTCATTGACTACAAGAAAATGGCAAAAAATAAATTTGTTTTTGATTTTTGTAGGATTCCAAATTTCCAACACCTAATAAATCTGACATATATCTTACATGCGAATGTCTATTTATTTATTTATTTATTTTTGTATGTATAGTATAATTTAGACGATCGATTTTTCCTCCTTGCAGATCTGGAAGACCTTAAGAAATTCTCAAAAGACCAGGGTGCATTGGAAGCTGATGATTTGACACATTGGGACATTAGCTTTTGGAGTGAGAGGCTTCGCGAATCTAAATACGACATTAACGAGGTTGCTCACTCACTCTGTCATCATTTTGAAAAGACACTTTAAGAACATATAGTTTTAGTTTTGACAATTGCCTGTTAGAAGGATCAGTAACTTGTAATGTAATTGCATTATCTGGAAAGCTCATACATGATACAACTGCTACTCTTGTCTCAGGAAGAACTGCGCCCATTTTTCTCTCTGCCAAATGTTATGAATGGACTCTTTGACCTTGCAAAAACACTTTTTGGTGTTGAAGTTGAACCAGCTGACGGTCTAGCTCCGGTAATAAAATTCCCTTTTGTTCAGCTGTGGTGCTTGTATTGGGAAGCATCTATTGTAAACTTTCTGACCCGTGTTTATTGTTATTCAGGTTTGGGACAAAGATGTTAAGTTCTTTCGTGTCAAAGATTCTTCAGGTAGTCCAGTTGCGTATTTTTATTTTGATCCCTACAGCCGTCCTTCTGAAAAAAGGTCAGGTGCATGGATGGATGAAGTGGTTTCTCGTAGTCGTGTACTTTCACCTGATGGTAACTCATCAAGGTTGCCTATTGCCCAAATGGTGTGCAATCAAACCCCTCCAGTAGGA